GCTACTGCTAAATTTACTACAAAAGTTTTGCCCCATCTCCTTTATCCGATCCACACTCACACAGTCACACACTAGCTCACTGGATCCCCTCTCAATCCCCCGCGCCGGTCCACCCCCGTCGCCCCTCCTCCGTCTGTGCCGCCGTCACCTCCTCCTCCTTGCTGGACTCGATACCGGTCTCCTCCTCCGTCCTCCCTCTCCACTCGCCGCTGGCCGGCCCCTCCTCGCTCCGCCTTCCTCCTCCGTCCTCCCTCCACTGGCCGCGCCGGCCGGCCCCTCCTCGCTCCGCCTTCCTCCTCCATCCTACTCTCTTCTCCCTCCTCGAGTCGCCCCTCCTTCTCCCTCCTGCCCGCTACATTTTGATTTAGTAGCTAGGCTAGTTCATATGCAACATTTTGATTTAGTTGATATGATTTAGTTGATTTAATTAGTAGGCTAGTTGATTTAGTTAACTTAGAACATTTTGATTTAGTTGATTTAATAGGCTAGTTCATTTAGTTGATTTAGTTGACTTAGAACATTTTGATTTAGTTGATTTAGTAGGCTAGTTCATGTAGTTGATTTAGTTGACTTAGAACATTTTGATTTAGTTGATTTAGTAGGGTAGTTCATTTAATTAGTTGATTTAGAACATTTTGATTTAGTTGATTTAGTAGGCTAGTTGATTTAGTTGATTTAGAACATTTTGATTTAGTTGATTTAGTAGGCTAGTTGATTTAGTTGACTTAGAACATTTTGATTTAGTTGATCGTTAATCATTTGCTCATATTGCTTTAGGAAAAATGGCGCCACCACCACCACCACCACTATGTCGACTGTGCAAGTCAAGATGCGTCAGCAGCCTTGCAACTGGCAAGCTGTTCCGCATCTACTTTTAGCCGAGTTTTCGTCATGCGGCGGTAAGAAATTAAATGAAATGTAATAACTATTTTGTTTTTAGTGTTGGCATTACTGCATTGTGTCATTTTGCTTATTTTACACAGACCGTCCCATGCAATGTGAGGTTGAAATTCAACAAGCTGACATGAGACACTGTGACATTTGAGGCTCCTGGGGGGCCGTACACTATGGAGGTCGAGAAAGGACGCAATATGTCGCAGATTGGAGGAGATGGATGGGCCCGTTTCGTCGCTCGCATGCGTCTTACTGGTGGTGAGTTGATCAGCTTCTCCTTCCGAGCAGAAAGACCCAAGCTAGCTGTCATTTATCTCAACCTGGTGAAAGATGATGAAGATGACGAAGATGATGAAGATGATGAAGATAATGAGGACCCACTCGATGAAGATGATGATGACCCACTTCATGAAGCCATCGTAGCTCAAAGAACAAGGCTGAGTGAGGAGGAGGTGTCCAACCTGTGGGACATAATTCCGCCACGTGCTGACTTTGTCGGGGTGCCATTCATGACTCGCTTGACAAACACCATGGTTGATCGACATGATATGGTATGTTATACTTACAAATGCAAATTATCCGATGAATTACTTAGTGTACAGTCCAATGATATGGTATGTTGTGTGGAATCTAGTCGATGATATGTTTTAGTGAAGAATTCGATCACATGCTTATTAGTGTAGAATCTAATGAAACTATTAATAGTGTAGATAATCCATATGTACTTATTTGCGAGGCTATTTATCAATTGATATGTTTTTCTTATTCAAAAATTGGCAAAGAGCATATCTGTGAGTTATGGATCGAGCCTGATGAAGAAGGCTCGGCTGGACTACGCCTTACTGCAAGGGGCTCCATCACAACCTGTACTTACCGCGTGGACACGAACGGTCGCACACACTTAAACTCGGTTGGGTGGAAGAAATTCCTCGATGGCAAGAATCTTCGTGTTGAACAGGCCACCCTAATTACTATCAGGAACACCAACCGCCCAGGCTTAAGGATGATGATTGTCTTCGATATCATCTAGAACTACATATGTGTGTGTGGCTATATCATCTAGAACTACATATGTGTGTGTGGCTATATCATCTAGAACTACATATGATGATCGTCGTCAATATCATCTAAAACTACATATGATGATGGCCGTTGATATGACCTTGTACTGCTTGAGGATGCATGTTGACTATGCATGAAATTGTTATCTAGTACTCCCTTCGTTCCAAATTACTCGTCGTGGTTTGAACTAAAACCACGACGAGTAATTTGAAACGAAGGGAGTACTAACTAGTAATGGTTTATGAATTTGATATCTACTAGCAGTACCTAGTATCTAGTATCTGAAAGGGAAACTGAAAGGGAAAGGGGTAATGGGAAAATGATGAAAGATATAGCAGTAGCGAGGGATGGCGAAATCGCTACAGGTAGGTAATAGTAGCGTGTTCTTAAAAAGCGCTGCTGATATCGTAAACAGTAGTAGCGCGGGTAAGGGCCGCGCTACTACTATGAGTTAGCTGTAGCGCCTTATTAGTAGCGCGTCCACCCGCGCTGCTGCTAGCCTCAAAACCCGCACAGCTACTAGGGTTTTCCCTAGTAGTGTACTATTGTACATGTTGACTATAAGATGAGCTGTAGATGACATGGCACTGGCTTATAGCCAGCAACTGGCTATACTATTAACCATGCTCTAAGGAGATGGTCAGATGGGATGCCAACGCCTATGTTACTAGCCGTGCCTCCACTCACTTTGCTGCTGCTGCACTTATGAGACAGTAGGTAGGGTCCATTAAACACGCGGTAATACTACCTCCGTCTTGGTTTATTGGTCCCTATTGTATTTTGTGCCCAATTTTGGCCATGAATTTAACTAACAAAATGTTTGTGCATGTCACAAAAAATTATATCATTGAAAACTATGCTCAAGTACAAATCCAACGATATATTTTTTGTTAATATGCATTAACATTTTGTTAGTTAAATCGATGGCCAAAGTTTGGCACAAACTATAAAGGGGACTAATAAACCAGGACGGATGTAGTATAAAGTAGTCCTAGTAGCACATGTTGTTAGTCCACAACTTTGTTATTCCAATCAAGGGCATATTCACTATTGAAGTCTAGCAATACTCTTAATTAATTAATTCATGTTTTTTGCACCCTACGCCTGCCCAGCATCCGTCCAGTTCCATGCTTTTGATCTGAAGCAAATGAAATCATGTCTGGGTTGAGTTCACTGCATTTTTAAATATTCTCTCGTTCCGTTCTTTCCAAATGTTCCAGCAGACCAGAGCAATGACCGAACGCCAAGACTTGGCAGAATCCTTGTTCATGCTTGCGGAGGAACGCTGCCACCACTGTATTAGGGTCGCCGTGGCCGTCCATGCATTTCCAGCCGAGAGAGTATCATCTGTCCGGGAGGAGCCAGTTGTTCTGAATCTCATTCCATAGGTCGAGGAATTGATTGAGGAGGTGGCCGTGAGGTTATCTTTGAAGTGTCTCAACCATTTATTTTCTAAGGGTGCGCTGCTTGTAAAGGTCTGGGTATTTGTCGCAAAGGCTTGTCCGTCTTGGACAAGCAGGGATCAGTCCAGAACTGAGTTTATGCTCCATCCCCACTGCTGACATCCACAGACACATGAATGAAACAGTGTCCTGACTATGTTATCTACAGGAATTGGAAGCCCCTACCACGGCTTGGATCTGTCCATCCATGACATCCAAAGCCATCTGCATCGCATGGCAACACTCTTAAAACTGAGGCTTGAAATCCCTAGGTCGCCAAATTTGCGCAACAGGTATACTTGCTTGATAAAAGTGCTTTGGGCTGGCAGCACTAAGGAGCTCATGAATGGTTGCAACTTTCTTGCCAAAATTTTCATAACCAACTTCACATAGAAGGACAGTAGGCTGATCGGTCTGTCGTCTTTAGCCTCTTTTGGGCATCTTGTTTCTTTGGTATGAGCACCAAAGTAGCTTCATTTAGACTTTCAAGGTTGATCACATTGGTTCTCTCAAATTACATGATGGCTGCCATAATGTTCTCTTTTATGATGTCCCAACAAGTTTGAAAGAACATAGCAGTATATCCGTCGGGTCTTGCTAGTTAGGGTTTAAGTCCATGACAACAACCCTCACAACATAATCGTCGGCTGGTGCTGTGAGACGGCACTTCCCTTGTGATTGCAACATTGTCCAGTTGCGGCCCAACAAGGGTCGAAAGGCCGCAGCCCGCCAGAGAAGGCACCAAGGATGGTGCTATTGTTATAGTTAGTGAGATTAATCTTAAGGTAGCTCAATTCCATTGTAATTTTACTTTTGAGTCGTGTTGTCAACTTTGAAGCACATAGTCTAGTCAAGTTCTTGCTTTTGCTAGGTTCGAAGCGCCGCGTCTGGTTTGACCAACCCCTTGATCTAAGTTATACTATCCCACACTCTGTGACGTGATATTTGATGAATAAATTTGGCTATTACCTCTCAAAAAAAAGGTCGGGGCTTTTGGTTGACTGCTCAGCGGCTTCCTGCGATCTGGCCACGCCAGCGGCAACGTTCAGGTCCCCGTCCAGAGAAGCAGGGGCACCGCACCAGTGCTGCAGCCAATCATCACTTCGAGAACTGCAACTTCCAGCTCTGTCAACTTCAGAAGCAGCCTGGCCCTAACGGCGCGGAGACGCCGTCTATTGTGCCTGTGCTCACCACGCCAGCCTCTATGGTGCATGCCCCCTAACGGACAGGGACGGTCTCCCTCTATACGATCTTATATTTCTTTACAGTGGGAGTAATATATGTCACAATCTCAGCAAAAGAGCTTGCTTCTTCAGGTGATCACGGGCGAGATATTATCACTCATGTCCACGACGTACGTGAAACTTCAATTGGCTAAGGCAATGCATGTGTCTAGTACAAAGGGATGAGTGATAATACTCGGAGAAGGTTAGCAACCTGCTCAAACCAAATCCTGAAATCCACCCATCAGGTTCTCTAGGTTAGCACTCTAGGTTTGCTATATGCCATTGTCGGGCGGCCATTTTGCGCGGGCAATGAAATGCTCGTTCTGGCTACAGCATGCTCATGGCACTGGGCTGCTCATCCCACTTCTCGAATCGGCTACAGACCTGGTGACTTGACACTTGCTGGAGAATGGAGCGACTGTCGGATTGTTTGTCCAACCCTAGCAACCTCTGCGACCCTCGATACGGACGACGAACCGCAACTGCTGCCAACGGAAGTTTGCTCGTGGAAGAACTTCGATGGCATCGAAGAGAGCTTCTCTTCTGCAGAAACGAAACCAGGAGCCATTAAATCTGGATTCTTATTTGCAACAGTGCTGATACAGAGCCAAGTAATAACTACAGGTTTAGATGGTTTCGGCGTCTCGTATTAGGATTTAGGATAACGGCTACTATTGCATCTACAGAACTTGATGAACACCATGGCGCCATTAGCACTCACCATGAAGCCTTCCGCAGTTCACAAGCTCACCAAGGTAGTCATGCAAGGTTTTCAGAATGCGCTTCTCTTGCTCTTTGTAAGTGTCTGGCAATCTCTGTTTGGTGGCCGAGGGAATTACAGCTGCAACGCTTGGTGTCAGGAAAAGCCGATCTTGCTCGTTACACATCAGTTTCTGGGTTTCAGGGGACACCGGTCTTCTGTCATACTTGCATGTATCAGAAGGGTCGGACCTTGCTGCTCCTGCCCTTACTTCAGAAACAGGAACTGCGGTTAAACTGTTTTCTGTTGAGCAAACTTGTTCATCGCGCTGTTTCTCGACTGCTTCCATGTCATGGTTTATGGAAGAAAGGCAACTATCTGCTTGATCTAATTTTCTTCTGTTAGTGTTCTCCTTAACACCTGAAAATGAAACAGTAATGAGATTCAGAGAAAATATCCTTACAATACACCTGATAGTGAGTTCTACTTTTAAGGTATGTGCAATTTTTCTTTAGGTGGAGTAACAAAGCAACCCCTCTGAACTGAATGTGACAAGGTCACTGTGTTCTACGCTGTACTTCCCAATAGTTGATGGGAAACCAGCAATAAAAGATCTACGCATGGCCATAGAAGAATGTGAACAAGCAAACACAAAACAATTCAGCATAATGAATCACATATTAGGATCACATCTACAATTGTTCTTTTGGAGAGAACAATACCTACGGATGCTCCAGCAGCTTGCCTTGATACTAGAAGCAATACTTTACAGAGCTCATTGACATTCTCTATCTGGATAACATCAGCTAAAAGTGGCCTTAAGAAGATAAGAAACATATATTAGACAACACAATCAAATGAGTTCAAATGAGAAATTGGTTATAACCATGGACAGAATGTCACCTGTAAGTAACTCCATGCGGTTCTACTTTGACGGCACTTTTAGTGCCTTCTATAGGAACAGGAGTGAGCAAAGACGAAGTCACCTGAAATGGGATAAAAACCAAAAGTATATGTCAATAACCAGAATTTCAACTTTTTTTACCTTTTATTTCATCCAAATGATATGTTCTAGCATTTGAGCTACTGGTCATAAATATTCAGTCGGTCATTTATAGATTATAAAACACCACATGTTCTTGGCTGCTACAGTATATACCTTAAATTGTTTTCTAAGTCGACATAATGAAAAAAAGTCAACATAACGAAAGCCGAAGTCATGAATATAATGGAAGGTATGCTGTAAAATAATTACTTGTGAAGAATCATTGTTGTTGATGAGCTGATCTCTGCCTGAAGAAGCCACTGAGAGATTGGAGAGCTTTTCTGCTGCAGGAGAAAGAGCCGCATATGGTCCAGTAATACCCATTGTAGCAGGATTCTGCATATGATGTGCATAGACAAGGTGCTGCTGGTGCCGGGTGATACGGCGTATTGCTTTCCTATCTTCATTGCTCTCATAGTTCTTGCAATCCATACATTTGCAGTTCTCTGAACAGAGGATATTAGATCGAAAGCACTCACAGTATTTCTTCAGGCACTCGGATCTCTTGCAGTGGCACCCCTTCATGTGCTTACCCACAAGAGGGCCTTCTGCTACTTTAAACTGGGATGTAAAGGGAATGGATTTCATACATGATATGGTAAGGCAAACATATTGGAATACAACTCGGAATTTGGCTTGTTTCTCATATAGCAATTGACTCATGGTATGGGCTCAGAGTCAATGATTATTAAGTGCTAGCAGAATGCCAAAGGTCAAATTTGTCAATTTTAAGCAATGTGCCCAAAAGGAAGTCAGGTAATGGTAATCTATGATTAATTTCTGACATTGGAAGGACAACTTCTAGATGACAAAAGGAGGATTTGAGTTTTCTGTCATTGTTGCTGCACCGATCTTGCTTAACATAGCATGAAAGACAAAATCCGGCAACTATTGCACATATAATAAATAAAGATGTGACACTTAGTCAAATGACATTATGTGCACCGTTTAGGCCACTTCATGTGTTTCTTCATCGTGGTTAAATTTTCCAAACAGACAATAAAACAAGCAAGCAAGCAAATAAGGTTTTAAGATGACATAGATAGCCAAGCCCTTCAGCAACTAGAGAACTGGAGGAAAACACAAGTCATTCTTGGAAAATATACATTGTCCTCTACCTCGCGGTTCTGGGCTGCATGTGGAGGGATGTTCCCAATTTTGGGCATAAAGGCCATAGGATTCCTTTCCATTGCAGCATCTATAGCAACCTGTCTTGCAGCCTCATGACCAACATTATTATAACAGTTTTTGCAGTTGCAATCATTGCAGTATCTACCTGATGCAAAACACTCACAATACCTGGAAATGCATTCAATCAAAAGACCAATCAGTAGAATTCTATGATCTAAAAACAATCCAAGTCGTTGCCTAGCTATTAAAAAAGTAAGGGCTATCAACTGACTTGAAAGAACAAAAGGAGTTCATTAGTAATGCAAGTGTTCAGAAAGAAGGCAAAATCTCATTAATGTTGTAGATATTAGAACATTTTTATAGACTTGGTCAAAGATAAAGTTTGACTTAGGACAAACCTAGAACCTCAATCAATTTGGAGTGGAGGGAGGACTTGTTTTTCTTATAACTTTGGCACTATTTCAGATTATATTTTTGAAAATTCAGTTATTACTTATCCTGATAGTGCAAGACGCAAATGAATGACCACAAAAATCAATAATTATTTGTTCTATTTACTTTCATATTTGCTATTCTAATAAGTACTCTAAAGATGGAGCCTGGCAAAGAAACTGTTTAACCACAAAGCGTAGAACATGAACAATAGCATCAAATTATTAAAGAAAATACTACGAAGAAATAACAACTGTATCAGGTTTCATTTGGAGGTTTAATATACAATCGTTTGCTTGTTTGCATTGTGCCCCTTTGGCAACTTATCGGCAGTACATGACAGAAAGCAATACAGGCATACGCACACGTTATGCACGTACGACGGCAGTGAGATTTTTCACAGCAAGCAATATACAGTACATAAGCACTAATCTTAAAGGGTTATGAAATGACTTGAGGGATAAAATATTAACCTAAAAGAAGATTCAGTAATAAAAAAACCCATATGCTGCATATTGTTTGAATAAATTACAAGGGAAATTACTTCTTCAGACATTTCGAGTTCTTGCACTTGCATTGTGTCCTCCTTGATGTCCTGTCTGTGGATTCACATGATGTTTCACTCCATGGATATCGAGCATTCCATCTCCTGGAGATAGGAAAATTTGCAAAATCAACAAAAATAGTTTCCAGCCAACTCTTCCCTGCTCTCAGAGGATAAAAGGGGAGAAACCTGGACACGATTTCTCAATTAACTTTGAAACACAGAATACCAGCTGCAATTATTTATATAGAAGAAGAAACGAAGCCAATGTCCTAGTAGGTACTCCCTCTGACCGGAAATACTTGTCATCAAAATGGATAAAAAAGGATGTGTCTAAAATTAAAATATGTCTAGATACATCTATTTTTATTCATTTTGATGACAAGTATTTCCGGACGGAGGGAGTAGCTACCAATTTCAATTCCTTCAACCAAACATCCCATCACATTATATGCCATAGACTCTAAACAAACATTACTATTCCCAAATTACATGGCAGGGGGAGAGAGCTCACACGTCTACAGAGGTTGCACGCATTGGCAGCACCACCGGCACCTCCGTCTTGGGCAACGATTGTTTCAGAACTGGGGGTGCCTGTTGCAATGGGCGCAGTTGTACCCTTGGTGGTGGCAGCTCTGCAACTTGCAATGCCTCCCGCAATGGTAAATCTTGCGACAGCACAGGTGAAAGCCGCCGCACCTGCAGCTTCTTAGCTGCGGGTTGAGTAGGAAATGGCATGTGGTGCTTTCTAACCATTAGTGTAGGCCATGGCACCGGAGGCCACAGTGGCAGCGCCTGGGAGAGCGATGCCGCTGTTGCGGCACTTCCTGACTTGCGGGCGTAGAAGGCCGAGCAGAAGTTTGGCTGCACTGAACCAGGAGGAAGGTTCAATGGGTTGTCCATTTTGTACCAGTTTTCAGATCCACCTGGGGGCCTTGCTGGGGTTTTCCACTCTCATCTCCGAGTCCGACGTCACCTGGCATCACAGAGAAAATTCATTTGAGCATGATCAGTACTTGGTTGAAGTGTTATCCAGGATGAAGACCTCCAGACTTTTACAGATCAGTACTTGCCAAGCGGTTAATTCACTCTCAAATCAAACCGGAAGGACAATAAACTAGTTAGCGCAAACCCATAATAAAATCCCTAAACCACCAAAATCCGTCCGGCTCCATGAAACATTCGTAAGTAAATCTAACTGATCTGCACACAGGACGCAGTGGCACCCAACGTATCCTTCCTCTTGATCAAACCGATTTCACCCTCACCTCCCACAAATTAATCAGCAGAGCATCGGCACAAATCCGAAACAAACTGGATTCAGCGCTCGCCGCTCGTCAGTTCTGAAGAGCTCTGACACCTCGTAGCGCCGCAAAGCCAGAGCCCGACATTTCATTCGCCCCAGAACCACCCAGTTCCCCACGAACCGAACCACGCCCCTCTCCCCCGGCCGAAAATGCCTCGAGCCCTCACACGATCCACAGCAAAACCATGTACGAAACGGAGAAACATCTAGGAAGAATCAAAGCATCTTAGGAAGGGTTCCTATCCATGAGCCTGTCGCGGATAATCCCCACAGCAAAAACAGCGGCGAAAAGTTGGGAAGGAACCTCATCTCGGACGCGCGCGAGGTCGATCCGCGCCGACGAGAAGATCCGGCGAGGGGGAGCCCGCCGGTGACGGGCGGCGAGGCCGGGTGGGGGAGGGGGGAGCAGGTGGGCGAGGGAGCTGTGCTTTCGATTTCGCCAGGTTTCGCCCCGTTTTCCAGGGGCCGGAGAACAGACGGAGATGGGAGAAGGTATTTGTAGCTGCTGACGCTTGACGGCCGAGAAAAGTATACTTTAAAGCTTTAAGGTTTGAACTGGTAGAGCCCCGTTGAAATTGAACCCTGAATTTCAAATCCCTGAAATTAGCTCCTTCGCCTTACTGGAACCGGCCAATCCAGCATTTCAAATTTCATCGAGTTTGGAGTAGCAGATTGAGGGATACATTGATTTTTTTCATTTTCAACAAAACTTTGGCCAAAATTTTCTGATCATTCTGAGAAATTTTGAATTTCAACAAAACTTCGCCTTACGGTCTAAAAAATGAACACTAATATGCTGATCATTCTGAGAAATTTTCAAAAATAATAATTCCAAGCCGATTAACAATTACAAGATAAATACCAATTCAGCCCGGTTGTTTTTTGAATCTTGTGGTAAGTCAAGGATGTATTTTCAAAAAGAAAATTGACGGGTTTCGGAGTTGAGGGTTGCAAATCGAGCCGAGTGGTTAGTTGGAGGTTGAAATGCGAACCTTTCTCTTGGTACAATATCTTTTCTCTCTACTTTGTGACGTTGTGGAAATTTTCAATGCTTTGTCAACTCTACTCGAGGATAAGTTGGTCCGCGAACCGCAGCATGTTTCATGGGACTCCATGGCTGACGAGGACAACGAAAAGGAGTTGGCTCCCCAAACACCACTAGTTGCCACCAAAGCCATCGACTCCAGCAGGTTGTACGTGCAGCATGAGGCGAGCAGCTCTTTTCCTACTTTTGTGACATCGTGGAAATTTTCAATGTTTCGCCACTCTACTCGAGGATAAGTTGGTCTGCGAGCCATGGCATGTTTCGTGGGACTCCATGGCCGACGAGGACAACGAAAAGGAGTTGGCTCCCCAAACACCACTAGTTGCCACCAAAGCCATCGACTCTAGCAGGTTGTATGTGCAGCACAAGGCGAGCAACTCTTTTCCTACTTTTGTGACGTCGTGGAATTTTTCAATGTTTTGCCACTCTACTCGAGGATAAGGTGGCCCACGAGTTGTTTCATGGGCCTCCATGGTCGACGAGGACAATGAAGAGGAGTTGGCTCTCCAGACACCTCTAGTTGCCACCAAAGCCATTGACTCCAGCAGGTTGTACGTGCAGCATGAGGCGAGCAGCTCTTTTCCTACTTTTGTGACATCGTGGAAATTTTCAATATTTTGCCACTCTACTTGAAGATAAGTTGGCCTGCGAGCTGTTTCATGGGCCTCCATGGCCGACGAGGACAATGAAGAGGAGCTGGCTTCCCAGACACCACTAGCTGCCACCAAAGCCATCGACTCCAGCAGGTTGTACGTGCAGCATGAGGCGAGCCGCTCTTTTCCTACTTCGTGACGTCGTGGAATTTTCCAATGTTTTGCCAACTCTACTCAAGCATAAGTTGTCGCACGAGCCGCAACTTGTTTCGTGGGCCTGCATGGTCGATGAGGACAATGAAGAGGAGCTGCCTCCCCAGACCACTAGATGCCACCGAAGCCATCGACTCCAGCAGGCTATACGTGCAAAACGAGATAAGCAACTCTTTTCCTACTTCACGATGTCGTGGAATTTTTCAATGTTTTGCCAACTCTACCCGAGGATAAGTTGGCCCGCGAGCCGCAACCTATTTTATTTCCATGGCCGACGAGGACAACGAAGAGGAATTAGCTCCCTAGACACCGCTAGTTGCCACCAAAGCCATCGTCTCCAGCAAGTTGTACGTGCAACACAAGGCAAGCAGGGGGCATTGACAGAAGGTGCCGCAAGGCATGGATTGCATCGTCCAATGTCGCCAATCCTGGCTTTTGCTTCCCGTGCCATCTATACTTGGCTCCACCACAGATGCTGCAGATGCTGCAGATGCCTCCTCGTTGGGCACCATGCGACGGATTGCATAGATTCGTTTAGGATGCTCGAGTTGCCTTGAGAATGATTATCGGGCACGTGTGTGTCGCAATGTCTGGCGTCCGCTCAGCTTACTCGCAAAACCTGCCATGCCGCCATCGTCATGTGTCATCAGTGAGCATCCTCGATCTCCAACTCCGCGTCAAGCCAGTTCCAAGGCAATTCGGTGTGATTCTTAGAAGTTGATTTGTGTATGCTCCCATAGGCCCAACAACCCCGACTAGTGTGACTATGCAGTACGATTTTGAGCGCAAGCTGAGCTGATGTGCTCGGAACTACAAGGTTTGGCTTCGTTTTAGTTGAAGGAGGCGGTCCAACCTCTATGTGATGTCGCTCAATGTATGTAAGGTTGGATGCTTTGGTTTGGGAGCTTTCTAGAGTGTTCGGGGGTTGCTCCGGATAAGTTCTCTCTTGCACTAGATGTGAAGCAAACCTCCCCTGCTATGGTGGATCCTGATGTTGACTTTGTTGAGGAGAGGGTTGCGGAGCCCTATGGCCGCTTCTCCCCTCGTGCTAGGGTCAGTTCACCGACATTGTCTACCTTGCCCTCTGCGTGTGTTGCCTCTATGAGCGAGGCCACTGCCGTGCTCGTGCCTTCAGTAATGCAGATCATGCCTGAACTTCAGCGGATGTGTAAGGAACCGGTTTCACCACTTTTAGGGGAGAAACTAAAGGGGGCTCGCTCATGCCCTCGGTTGTGACTTTGGCTCATGATCCAACCACCCTGGAGCCTAGCCAAGCATCTGCATATGAAGAGAGGGGTTGACTTGATGCTCGTGCTATGCACTTGCCGAAGCCCATCGGCCCGATGGTTCCTGTGGGTGAGGATATTGTTGTGGCCGGTGTGGTTGTGCCTAATCCCGAGGCCCTCTTCGTCGCCAAGACTTGCGATTTCCCCAGTGAATTGGATGCTGCAAAATATGAAAAGACGATTGGTTGCCTCTTGAAGGGAAATCTTTGAGGGAGAAATGCAAGAAAGGTGGTTCTAATCCTCGACCCAACATCCTCAAGGAAAAATCTAGGAGGAGCAAAAGCAATAAGGGTGGTGCAGACGGAACACACAGGTGATTCCATGATTGATGGTTCTCAAATTTCTTGGTTGGAAGCCGGGACTCGGTTGTGTCTGTTGACTTTGTTGATTTGTCTCTTTTACTCGACGGGGTTCCCTTTGCGATGTTGAGATCCATGCGTTGGGGAGAGGCATTAATACCATATGGGGTGTGTTTGTTGGCCTGCCTCTGTGGTCGTGTGTCTCCATGATCCGTGAGTAGTTGACATGCTTATAGGTTTGTGCTTGTTCGACTGTTTTGAGCAAGTTTGTAACAACTTTCATCCGGTTTTCTGTAAATTAACGGGCAACTTTCTTATTTTTAATTAATGGATGAGTCAATAATTTTGCTGAGGTTTCAAAATATATACTAATTTATGTTGCCAAATGATAATTGCGCCACGTGGGTGGCACCAAGCAATCCGGTCGTCATGGTTTTTTTTTTTGAAGGAAGGCCATCATGGCAAGCTTTATTGAATTATAGAACACTTACATCATCCACGAGCTTACTGACAATGACATCAGGTGGCTCGTTTAACCAACTGAGATTCGACTTATTACAAAAGGAGAAGTTAGCTAGCACATGTGCCGCTTGATTACAAGAACGAATACAATGCTTAAAAATGACCTTCCAAATCGACGTACTAATATCAACGCATTCCGTGAAGAGAGCCGCAGCTTCATCCCACCATCTTTCTTGGCCATTGCAGAAGTTAATTACCTGGAGAGAATCTAATTCCGCTTCAATCTGGTTTAGTCCTAGAGAGTCGGCAAAGAATAGCCCATCCCTCATGGCCATCGCCTCCATTGTAATTGCATCCGCCGCCACCGGTACAAAATTGCATTGCGCGGCAATGAAGTTTCCATGAATATCCCTCATAACAGCCGCAGTTGCCCCACTCCCTTCATCTGGAAAAAAGGCTGCATCAACATTTAGTTTTGTGTATCCTGGGTCCGGCTTACACCATTTAGTCTCTGGCATTACATGTGAACTTGTCAATGAATTCTGGAAATTTGAAGCAATCGATAGAATGGATATTGGCCATCTCCAAGAAGGTGGCACCGGCTCATCATGTGTCATTCGCCTACGTATCCACCACAAGTACCAGGCTCCCACCATTAGTGCTTGTTTGAAGTTGACATTAGAATGTACCATCAGTAGA